GTAATGAGGCTTTTGATCATAGCTCTTTTGTCCCATGACCCAAGACCTCTGACATTCCAAGAGAGAATGATCATTTAGTAGATGTACACCCACCAGCAGTGAGAGAAGGGAAGGGTTTATCATAGTTTATGGAAGATGAAAGTCCAGCTAGTTCCGTCTTGCCCCGATTCTCTTTTCTGTTTGTAAGCATCTTCTTTGTGACTTTGGTAGGGATTGGCAATGCCCATTCCCATAGTATAGAGCCAAGGTGCTACTACTTGGAGATACTCTGAAGGGTGGATGTTGGGGTCGAACAAACAAGGGGAAGGTTGTTGGTCAGTCCTCTCCATGGAAGCATGGGCCACATTATCTGTTGTATGTGCATGGGAGATTGGGGAGGGTGGTTCAGAGGTAAGGGGATAGGGACTAGATAAACCTTGTTCAGATTCAGAGAGAAGAACAGGGGAKTTTGTTGAYTGTTTTGTACCTGGAATAAGGAAGGTTTGCTTTTCCTCRATGTTAACGGCTAGTTTCGGCCCTTCAAGTAGTAGAGTTGGGTTGGGGAGAGTAGATGTCTGTATTGGAGGAGGTGATATAGGTATAAGATCTTTAAAGTGGTCAATAATCRATTCTAATGGGTATTGGGGGGCTGGCGGGGGTAGATCGTGTGACAGAGACTTTGCTTGGGAGGGGAAGGTTTTTTGGTTTGGTAGCCCTGTCGTATTAATGGATGGACAGATTGGTGAATGATCAGAGGGTGGGTAGGGTGGCGCGGGTCTCAAGAGGCTTGGTTTAGTCTTTGATGTTGGGTCATTTGGTGCAATTGAGAGAAGCAGGGGGTGGGGCCCATCGGTGTCAGTACAGGTACGTGGGTGGTCAATCTGCAGAGAACTTTCTGTCTCAAGGTTTGAGAAGTTCCTTTTTTGTGTTACAGCTGGTGCTGTTCCCAACAGTCCGTCGGAGAGGCAAGAAGGGGCCGGAACAGTGCGTTTTCCGGTGGGTATGACTCCATGGATTCCGGCGGCATAGCCTATAAAATTTTCTGAATGGAAGAAAGGGTCAATCTGAACCTTGGTAAGGTTTGTGGGAGATGAATGAATACATACCTCTGCAGGGATGAATCCAAATGGATTTTCCTTGATTTTAATGGTTGCTTCCATCAGGTCAAGTTTCGATAGGGTTTTCTTAGCTATTTCGATGAAACCACCGCAAGCATCTCCGATGTGCTTCAAGGTACCTTTGTCCCATTTATCCAGAGGAAGATTCCGAATTTTTATCCAACCTCCATAAGATGGAACTTTAGGAGAAAGATTTGGGTCAAGTTGGCTGATATCAAAAAATTTCAGGTGGAAGCTGCCGACCTTATACCAGTCTTTGAAGCCGCAGAGGATGTGGCTCTGTTCTCTACCCTCACATCAAAGTAGAGCTTTATCTGCTGTAAAAGGATTAAGGGTACAGTAAAAACTGATGTGTTCTCTTAGGGCTCTTGTAATTTTGAACCAATCATCATGTAAATGCCTCCTCATRACAATAATRGATGATTCCAGCTGAAGGTCAGSTTCCGCATAGTCGCATGTAGGCGTATTYTGTGTCCTTTTAGGCTGTGGGTGTGGTGTTAAATCGACAATTGGCTGTTTGCCCTTGTTTAGGACATCACGGTAGGTAGGAGGCTGATTAAAAGTAGTGGGTGGTGGTGGGTCAAAGGGGTTGGTTCGGGGTTTAATGTGAGGAGTCAGGGGTTGTTTTTGAACTGTTGAACCATTTAGGAGGTTATAGAAAATCTTCCAACCTTTTCTCTCATCTCCAATAKGGATAAAGAGTTTGTTTAAACCTCGGTTGTTGTCCAGTTTGGCTATCTCAGCTATAGTACCCTTTCTATTGAATGTCTTCTCTACCCAAATGGTTTGGTCATCGATGCGTGTTTCCTTGAAAAACTTTTGGTTTAATGGAGCAGTGAGGGTGGAGAAGACATTCTTCAGCCATTCAAGAGATGACCAGTGTAGTGAAATAAAGAAAGCTCGGTCCTTTGTGGTTTCCGATATCCTTACTCTGCTACCACGGTATCTATGGTCTATGGCTAAAGCAAAACGCTTTCGCTCAATGGTGACAGGACGAGATGGTGGGAAGGTGGCCATGGGGGAGCTTCAGGTTAGGCATGGTGGATCGCCGGAAAGGGGTGGGTGTTTGGGTTGGTGGGAGGTCGCGGGTGGGAGAGATGAGGGGGCATGGTTGACGCCGTTTTAGGATAATTTTTTTAACTTAGAACCATTTCAAGTACTGTCAAAGTTGAGGCAATCTTTAGAAGCATGGTTTAAAGACACAACAGATCAAACTGACATGTTCATAGTCTATGTGGAAGCATGTGCTCTAGCTAAGCACGTAGCAAGACAGCATCCACCTTTGGAACAATAGACAACTAACAAATTTAGAAGGTACTGAATTTTCCTAGAAGCAAAAATAGTTCACATTCCTTCATGTAACATAAGAATGTGATAAAAGGTTTTAAATGAGAAAAAGATTTTCATGGCACATTACGTCACTGTACTGTTTTTCTTTTAACAAGATACAAACTTCTCATTGATTTAATGAAAAGGAATACAATGAAGGGAACGAAGAAAGCTAAAAGATATATATATAATAATAAAATAAAAAAGGTGAAACAATTCTTAAATAAAAATTAAAAAAAGTGAACAATTCTTAAATAAAAATTTTGAAACCTGATATGATGTTACACAAAACAAAATAGATATACAATTGAACTTGAATAGATACTTAAGACAATCATTTAAGAGTCTTCCAATGTACGTGCACATCATAACCAAGCTATAATGGCAATTTATGTAGTCATAAAAAAAGAGCTGATGTAGTATTAGAATAGCTCATAAAAAACCATCTTACTTGTGCAGTTAGTGACTTGATCACTTCTTTGGCTGCATTGCATCTTGCAGCCTCCTCGCTTGCTATGGATATTGCTTCCTTTAACTGTTTACTTGTTCTTTCTAGCTCAACATCTTGAAGTTGTGCTTTGCGTGTAAGGTTTTCAACCTGAGATAGTCTTCGGTTAAGCATACTTATTCTCCAACATTATAATATTTAGTGCATTACTTCCTTTATGTTTTATTGAACAAGACTATAATTGGTGAAACCGAACAAAGAAGTAGAAGATAGATAAACAATATGGCATCCCTCTAGAAAATGAAATAATCACATACCAAAGACTCAAAGCTATCCAGAAGATTATGAGTATACAAACAATACATGCACGAATTTGTATTGATAAGAAAAAAATATATATACAAAAAAATAAGGGCAAGGATAAGGCATCAAGAAAATTGAGGTGAAAGAAGATTGCAAAAAATACCATGGCATTAATGTTAAAAGTAGGAAAATATTTGTTAAGACCTCTTTTTCAAATAATCATGCTCGAGCCAACTAATGCAGGCCCCAATTCATCCCGCAAGACAACCACCAAACCCAACATTTAAGAGAAGAATCCATAAGATAGTTCATACCCTAGATAAGTGGTCACCAAATTTATGATCTCATCCCCATTGTTCATCACTAAAGCTTTTCTTCTATATTATTCAATTGGAGAAATTTTTTGCGACTCCCTTGGATAGGATTTCTCCCTCTTTTGTAATTTTATAGTTCATACCATCAATAAAATTGTTTCTTATAGAAATAATAATAATAATAATACTGATATTGCCGATAGGCCCGCACCATCTTTCAGCCCCTTATCAATCAACCTGCTTGCTAAAGCAATCAGCAACTAACAAAAAAATTGCAACTAACACAAAAATAAAGGGAGACTATAAGATTCCCCCAGGTTGCTATAATTGGAAAATTCCCTTGATTATTTCATTCTTTATAGAAAATAGATAATATATTAATAAAAGTAAGTAGAGCATGAGGAATCCCTTTATTCTGGAAAAGAAGATAGTCTTGGATACAAAAAAACAATCTGAATTTTTATTCCTTCATCAATCCTGGTTTGTATCTTTGAACAATTTTTGTTCCTTTTCACATATTCAATGAAAAGTTCGTATCTTCTTAAAAAAAAGCCTTTTTTATACAATTACATTAAATAGAAGTGTATTATAGATAGTTGTTATCACTGCTTGAGGATAAGGTATAATCCGTAAAGATAACAAAATGACAGACGTAAAGATGAAATTAAAGTAAAATAATGTACAAGTGATAAGATATCTATACAAATTAGAACGAGGAAAAATTCACTGCCACTTTCAATATCACGTTGCACTTTTAACTAACCAAATCACATAAACATCATTAAGGGACTAAAGGAAAAAAACAAAATAATAATAATAAAGGGGTTACCTGAGCCCTTAATCTGATAACTTCCTGGCTTAGTCTGTTGTTCGTGCTTTTAGCATCATTCACAGCAATCCTTGGAGAGGTGAGTCCTCCGAGAGTAGGAGTGGGAGTAGTTGAACGCGGAGGGCTGGGACGCCTAGATATTGGAGAAGTTGCTCGAGAAACAATTCTTGATCCAGGAAGAGATGCAGCAAAGAACTTCTTCGAAGATCCAAAGACCGGATTAAAAGATTTAGAAATATTAAGAGCTCCCCGCTGGGAGCCTCCACTAGGAATTGGTGAGACCCTACTGCTGCTAAATTCTATTTTCTTGTTTTTCTTTGAAGCCTGAATTTCAACCTGCTTCAATGATTCAACAGAAGGAAGCCTAGCAAGTTGGCCTCGAGATTTCGAGTCCAACTTCTCATTTTTATTCGCATGTTCGGTTGATCCCTGATTAATGCTTCCTCTTCTGCTCAATGAAGACTGGGATGAAGCATCCATTTCAATAAATTTTTTAAGTTTATGATAGCAATTATCACAAACACGGTAAGTTTTGTTGGGGTTTGGCGCCATGGAAGCGTTGAGAGACTTCTTACAGCTGCAAGAATGACAAAACACAAGTCCACAGTTATAACAGTTGTGTCGCTTCCTTTTAAAGTTAAATGGTAGGCGGCAACCAGAACACATGGATTGATCAACACCTGAAACCCACTTATGAAGGCAAATAGCAGCTGTAAAATTGGTGCCACAAGCAATGCTTTTAACTTGCTTGTCTTTAAGAGCCTCCACTAATGTTGGAGTATTTCTATCATCTGTGCTGCCAAGACCTAGACGACCATTCGCCCCCTTGCCCCAAGTATAAACCTCAGTTCTAGAAGTTAAAACAGCAACATGATAGGCACCACAAGCCAGCTCCTCCACAAAGCTCTTGGAGAGCTTTCCTTCAACTCGTACTGGGAGCTTTCCATCTGCTTGAGGATTCCCTAGCTGACCATAAACAGGGCTTCCCATCACGTAGACATGGCCAGAGGTTGTAAGTGCAACAGTTAAACTATGTCCACAAGCAACTTGGCAAAAGTTAGGTTCAACGAGAGCAGCAACACAAGTAGGCACAAGCTTTGCCTCTTTGTCACCATGCCCTAGCCGACCTTTATCTCCATCTCCCCAAGTAAACAGTTTCCCTGAAGAGCTGTTATTCGAACCTGGATTCCCAATTATAACTTCTACAACTGCAGCAGTATGCCAAACACCACAAGTGGCTCGCACAGTACGTAGACCTTTGAGAGATTCCACTTCTCTAGGTACTGAAATGCTGTCTCGATTTCCATGACCCAGAACACCAAACGTGCCATCACCAAAAGTAAATAATTTTCCAGCAGATGTCACCAGTGCTGTATGCCAAGGTCCACAAGAGATAGATGATACATGTAAACCCTGTAAGGGTCCACTTACACGTTTTGGAACCCAGTGGCTTACTTCTTTTCCATGTCCAAGAAGGCCAGAATTGTAGGTGCCATCACCCCATGTATACAGATCACCGGAAAGTGTTACAGCACACGTATGATATTCACCACAAGCTACTAGCTCAATGTTTAAATTACCGAGGGCATCGATAAGCTTTGGATGAAGAGCATCAGAGTCTCCTCCATGCCCAAGCCTGCCTCCATATTCCTCCCCCCAGGAAAAAACTTCACCTTGCTTGGTCACCAAGGCAGCATGATGTTTACCACAGGCAATGTTCTGGACATCAAGTACTACTACAGACTCTAAGGCTTTCGGCAGCAAAGAATCCATTTTGCTATCAACAGTATTTCCAACTCTACGAGTTCCACCACCAAGAACACCTTCGCCAGTTCCTTCACCCCAAATAAAAACATCCCCCAAGGCATCACAATCATCATTTCCTGAACCTTGGCTTGATGAGCTGACAGCACTGGATAGACTAACCCTAAAAGCATCCATTGCAACTGCTTTCATGTGGCCATGCATGCTATCTGAGCCTCCTGATGACAAGGAATGAACTGAACCACTTGCAGAATCAGAGTGGAAGAAACCTTTAGGAGGAATATTATACAACATTACATCTGATAATGCCTTATCCAGACCATATTTTGGAGGACTTCCATAAGGACTCGGAAGTCTAATCTGCTCTCCACCTTCCTAAAAATTTATGTAATGATATATTCGTTTAATTTTATTTTACAATGCTGCAAGAAAAAGTGGAATATTAAAGAAATATATACCTTTTGCAAGCTGTCATTGCTGCTAAATGGGGAATGGAGAGGAGAACTTCTTTGTGTAAATGTTCTAGGACTATTTACTTCAGACAGCATCCCGTCACTCCGTGATTCAGTTCTCCATTTTCGATTATGGATGCGTGAAATTAATGCCTTTAATCCACTGAACCAAACCTCAGTTTCATCTTTATCCTTGCATATCTAGTATAACACAAACAAGACAACCAAATAGTTTAACAAACAGATCTTACAGAACAGTTGAGAGCATCAAAATAAGAAAGGGGTCAGTCCTAGCGTCTATAAGTGAAGGAATGCCTCACCAAATCAAGTGATCTCTCATTATATATTAGAGAAAATGATTGACATTCCTTCTCAGGCCGTGGATATCTTTGAAATATTGGCTGAAAAAATAAGAAACACAGTTAATTGGTACACGTCAGGATTACAGTTTATTTCTTGCCCTGGGATAAATGTCAAACCCCTAAAAGTGGGATTATAAGGAGGTGGCTTGGTAGAGAGACAGACATCGGCATTCATTTAAAGAGTCCATAGAGACATTGGGGGAGCATTACAAGTTCAGGCTCAGGCATGTAGAATCATGTGGCATTATATATTGGGAGGAAAACTACAATATATGGGATAAACATTGAAATCAGATTAATAGACGTTGGATATGTACTGCACAAAAACATACACAAACACATGCACAAAAACATACAAATATAATTTTCTAAACGAAGGTGGAATTTCTTATTTAAGCTTTAGTTACGCTCCTAAACCATAATCTGAATAGGTCTCTAGGAACATGTTTTTAGAAGTCATTTCTACTTTCTAGAACAATATTTCAGTGATAAACTTCACTAATTTTTCTTTGGAAAAGAGGAGGTTCGGCCGTGTGGTAACTTAGGGAAGAAAAATGAAGCCCTTTCATGTAAATGGTAGATCCTCTCCCTGTCAGATACAAACTTCTCATTGAAATAATGAAAAGGAACAAAATTGTTCAAAGATACAAACTCTCAAAAGAGTGAAAACAAGACTGCAAACAGAATTAAAGCTAAAACTTAAAAAACTGCCATAAATACATCCCAATTAGAGAAAATTAGACTAGGGGAATAAGATTTAAATAACGGCGATAAAGAACTCCATTGCGAGGCTTTAAATCTAGAAATGTCGAAACGAGCTGAAGGGAGCTGCCTCTTTTCTTCATAAATCCTAAGATTTCTTTCATACCATATTTCATACACCACTGCTTTTACCGCGTTAATCCACAGTAAGGATGCCTTTCGATTTAAATAAAGCCCTGAGAGAGTTTGGACCAGATTTTCTGCCACCATGTTGTCAAAGACCCAAGCCAAGTTAAATTTCTCTAATAAAGAATTCCAGCAAATACTTAGCAAAAGAACAGAAGAAGAACAGATGCACCAAACTTTCTTCACTGGATTGACAAAGAGCACAAACCGAGGGCAGTAGACTGAGGCTCGGGATCTTCTTTTGTGGAACTTCACTTGTATTAACTTTCCCATAGATTAGAATCCAAGTAAAAAAACTGACCTTCTTTAGGCATTTGGATTTCCAAATAGCTCTAAATAAGGCATTTGGCATAGAGGAGCCAGAATGCAGCTTACAAATTGAAGTCACAGAAAACAAACCTGAACTGTCCAATGACCACAAATTTCTATCCGGTTCATTTGAAGGAGAATGAGAGTGCAACAAGGATAACATCGAACTGAATTCCTCAAATTCCTCATCTTTTAGTGCTCTCCTAGTAGAAATTCTCCACGCTAGTGTCTGGGCATCCCAAAAATCAGCAACTGACCCAGTAGGATTGAGAGAAATTTGGTAGATCTTTGAAAATCTATCCTTGAAAGGCTGCTCTCCGATCCATTTTTGAGACCAAAACAGAATACTATCCCCTGAACCAAGCTTGAATACCACAAAGTGACTCCACTGCTTCCAATGACGAGAAATGTTAATCCAGGGTCTTCTTAGGCAGCCATTTAACATACCTCCGGAGGACCAACCCATGCAAACTTACTATAACTTTGCGCCACTAAGCATTAGATTCATTTCCAAACCTCCATCCCCATTTAGCCAAAAGAGCGTTGTTCTGCTTGGAAAGACCTCCAATCCCCAAACCTCCAACTTCCAAAAGCTTAGACACCTTGTTCCAGTGTACCAGATGATTCAGCGCCCCTGAAGAGCCACTCTTCCAAAGGAAAGATCTCATTTTCTTCTCAATTTGTTTGCTTACTCCTAAAGGCATTTGAAATAATGACATGTAATAAAGAGAAAGGCTGGATACTTACAAAGCGTCAATCGATCTCCTCTTGAAAGTTGAAACCGATTTGATCTATCCAACTTCTTTTCGATTTTCTCCAAAACAGGGCTCCAAAATGTTGCTGATTTCGGATTGTCTCCCAAAGGAAGCCCTAAATATAAGAATGGAATGGTAGCAATCTGAGAATTCAAAGAATCAGCCCTCTGTTTTAACTTTTTCAGCATGTATATTGATGCCACAAACTGCCGATTTTTCCCAATTGACGGTGAATCCCGACATTCTTTCATATGCTTTAATAGCTCCCTGTCAGGTTTTGCACTAATAGAATGTTGATAAGTGAATTACTTCTTTTTGCTTCATTTGGGAAGTTTGTGTTGGTTTACTATTTGTGAATATTTGCTGTAAATTAGTTGTAAATGTTAATTGTTATTTATCATTATTTCCATTTATGTTTTAAGGCTCTCTTCTATATAAGAAGACCATGTATTTCTTACTCAAATATATTGGAATACAATTATTTTTATTCCATCAAAACTAAGTTGGTATTAGAGCCCAAAAGGCTCAAATGAGCCTCCGGTCCAAAAAATGGAATCCGATCAAGATCGATGAGCCAAAAGAGCCACAATCTTGAGGAATGAGGGGGCATGTTAAGGATCCCACATTGAAAAGAAAAGAGACCTAACAATGGTTTATAATAGACATGGGCTACTCCTCTCATTGCCAATTGGTTTTGAGATGGAACCCCATGAGTATTGATATAGTATCAGAGCATTTGGATGTGCTAGGATGCTGGATGGCCTCTACTACTTTGATGAGCCTTCTGGTAGTAATAAAATAACTCAGTGCTTTAGTAGTAACAGTTTTCTCTCTATTAGAACAAACTATGCTTTGGCATTTTAGGCTAGTACATCCTAGTTTCTTCTATCTCAAATACATATTCCCAAATTTGTTTAAAGGAGTTTATTGTTCTCAATTTCATTGTGAAAATTGCATCTTTGCAAAGCATCATCGATCCACATATTTGCCAAAACATTACAAGTCCTCCAAACCATTCTATTTAATGCATAGTGATGTTTGGGTCCTTAGTTTTAACTCATAGTGGTAGACGGTGGTTTGTAACTTTTATTGATGATCATACTCGCTTGTCTGGGTTTATTTATTAACAAACAAATCTGATGTGAAGGATATTTTCAAATGTTTTTACAACATGATTGAAACCCAATTTCAAACTAAAATTAGTATCTTGCATTCTGACAATGGAACTGAATATTTTAATGAACATTTGGATGAGTTTTTGAAAAATAAAGGCATTGTTCATCACTCCACTTATAGAGATACTCCTCAACAAAATGGTATTGCTGAACGAAAAAATAGGCATTTATTGGAGGTTGCTCGGGCCATAATGTTTTCTATGAATGTTCCTAGGTACTTATGGGGGGAAGCAGTCCTTACGGCTGCCTACCTAATAAATCGAATGCCTACTAAAGTTTTGAAGCTTAAAACTCCTCTTTATGTTTTGAAAGAAAATTTTCCAACAACTCGTTTGAACTCTGATTTACCTCTCAAAGTTTTTGGGTGTACCACTTACGTGTGCATATTCCTAGTCCTTTTCGGTCAAAATTAGATCGTAAGGCTATTAAATGCATTTTCTTGGGTTATGATTTTAGGAAAAAAGGGTATAAATGTTTTGATCCTCAAACAAAAAGGCTTCATGTGAGTATAGATGTGTCCTTTTTGGAAAATCAACCTTTTTTTACCCAAAATTATCTTCCGGGGGAGAAACAAAATTTAGAGGATGATAATTTTTGGGATATACCTGTCCCTCTGCCTAATGTTATAAGTCTCAACTTTACTAGTCCTTCAATGTCAAGGGTAGAAAATTCTCATTCAGGGGGAGAATTACTACGAAATGATCACATTGGTCTAAACCCTAAGTTTAAGTTTTATACTAGAAGAAGATGTTAGACCTCCAATTATCAATACTTACCATAGGAAAGGAAAGGGAAAGGGTAAGGGTAAGGAGGTAATTAGAGACTGAACTGTTGTAGGCCATAACGGCCAAGAGAGAGAAAGGGGGGCTAGGAGTAGTGTAGGACGGGTACCCGTAGTCCTTTTAAGTGGGAGGAGTTTGTTGGGGAGGGCATCGGAACATTTTGGTATTTTGGTGCTACTGAGTAGCCTAGGGAGAGAATACCCACCCTCTCGAATTGGTGGGTTGTTTGTGTGCTTGGTGTCCGGGATATTTTGTTCTTGCTCTGTAACGCCTTAGGGCTCCTTTTTGTTTTCAATCAAAGTCTTGTGAGGGGATACCTCACAGCTTCGTATCAGAGCGGCACGAGACTGGGAACGGCGAGCGACGATGACGGTGAAGGAACAGGAAACGCGCTGCGAGGCGGTGGAGAAAGAGGTTTCCGATGTGAAGAAGGAGGTTGCCGAAGTGCATAGGAAACTCGACGAGCATTGTAAAGAAACCGAGAAAATCCATGTTACGTTGCAAACGTTCATGACCCAGATCCTCGAGGGATCATCGCTGTCCCCAACAACGGCTATCACGCGGGAAGAGTCCGTCCGGAAAGGGAAGGCTATAGCCGGGGAGACCTCAGAGACAGGCCACGAACATCAGGGGAACGAACGCAATCGCTTCAAGAAGGTGGAAATGCCTATATTCGGAGGCGAAGAGCTTGAGGCTTGGATTTTCAGGGCCGAGCGATACTTTGAGATACAGAAATTGACTGACGAAGAGAAGATGATAGTCGTCGTTATCAGCTTCGACGGCATCGCCTTAGCTTGGTATCGGTACACGGATAACTGTGAGAAGTACAAGGATTGGAACGACCTCAAGGGACGATTGAGAGAAAGGTTTCACCTGGCAAAAGAGGGGAGGCAATGCGCAAAACTTTTGTCGCTGAAACAAGAAGGTACGTTCGCGGAGTTCAGGCAACAATTTGAAGCCTTGGCGGCGGCGCTCCCACAACTCTCCGATGAAGTCCTTGAGAGTGCCTTTCTCAATGGGCTTGACCCAATCATCCAAGCTGAAGTTAGGGCTACGGAACCTAAGGGGTTGGACCAGATCGTTCGTAAAGCCCAATTGATCGAAGATATAAACCGGTCAGTTAGAGAGGCCGAAGACCAAAACCCGAACGCTAAAACAAAACTGGGCCCAATCTCRAATAAGTTGTCCACTAAGGCCCAGGACACGATACCCACGCGCACAGTGACCCTAGCGGGCAGAAATCCCAACCCTAATCAAACGATGGGGAGCGTTCAAGGGATAAAGAAGGATACACCCTACAAATGATTGACGGAAGCGGAATATCAGAAACGAAAGGAACGAGGGTTGTGTTTCCGTTGTGAAGAAAAGTACACCGTTGGCCATAAGTGTCGTAATCGAGAACTTAGGGTGTTTGTGGTCCACGACGACGAGCTGGTTGAGTCAATGGAGGAGGACATGCAAGAACCCATGTCTGAACTCACCTCAAAAACGGACGGGAAGTTGGTAGAGTGCCAGTCGAACACTATAGTAGGCATTTCGACGCCGGGAACGATCAAGATCAAAGGGACAATGGAAGGTAAAGACGTAATCGCGCTGAAAGACTGTGGAGCTACCCACAATTTCATTTCCCTTTCTCTCGCCGACGAGCTAAAACTACCAAAGATAGATACCGTGAGCTACGGAGTGATTATGGGTTTAGAGGCCACGGTGAAAGGGAATGGAATCTGCCGAGGAGTGGTGCTCTCCCTATCGGAATTGACTGTAAAGGAAGATTTCCTTCCTTTGGAACTAGGGTCACTCGATGTAGTTCTGGGAATGCAGTGGTTGCAGACCATGGGAAAAATGGAAGCCGACTGGCCCACACTCACCCTGAAATTCGATCGAGGAGGAAAACAAATAGTGATAAAAGGGGATCCAACGTTAGCACGACTGGAGGTTTCCGTGAAGCGATTAGAAAAGCACTGGGAGGAGCACGATAAGGGGTACTTAGTGGAGCTGCGGGCTCTCACAACCCACCCCAACGAGGATGAGGAAACACTCGAGAATATATCTCCGCTAGTGGAAGAATTGGTCCACGAATACCTCGATATCTTCCAGAAACCCGAAGGGCTGCCACCAAATCGGGAAGTCGATCACCGAATACCGATACAGGAGGGACAACCCCCAGTGAATGTTCGCCCATATAGGTACGCTCATGCCCAGAAAGGGGAGATTGAGAGCTTGATTAGCGAAATGTTGGACGCCGGAATTATCAAACCCAGTGTCAGTCCCTTTTCGAGCCCGGTTTTGTTGGTCAAAAAGGACGGCAGTTGGCGTTTCTGTGTAGATTACAGAGCCCTAAACAATGTCACCATATCGGATAAGTTTCCCATTCCAGTGGTAGAGGAGTTGCTCGATGAACTCCACGGGTCGAGGATATATTCGAAGATTGATCTGAGGTCGGGGTACCATCAGATACGAATGGCCGAAGAAGATACTCACAAAACGGCATTCAGGACGCACAATGGCCATTACGAATTCCTAGTGATGCCGTTCGGGTTGTCTAACGCTCCTTCGACCTTCCAATCTCTGATGAACAGTCTTCAGACCCTTCCTCCGGAGGTGCGTATTGGTTTTTTTTGACGATATACTTGTTTATAGCACTGATTTGCAAACTCACTTGACACACCTAGCCATGGTACTCAATGTACTGAGGGAGAACTCCCTATTTGTAAACCTCAAGATGTGTCAGTTCGCGGTGGACCGGATTGAGTACTTAGGCTATTGGGTCTCAGCGTGGGGAGTGGAGGCAGACCCAACGAAGGTCGAAGCCATGCTGCGTTGGCCAGTGCCAACTAATGTCAAGGAACTACGTGGGTTCCTAGGATTGACGGGGTATTATCGGAAATTCGTTGCCAATTATGGGACAATCGCTAGCCCCCTCACGCAGTTGCTCAAGAAGGATGGGTTTCAGTAGTCTGAACAAGCAACGATCGCCTTTGAGAGTCTCAAACGGGCCATGGTAACCATACCTGTTCTTGCTCTTCCGGACTTCAGCATACCATTTGTGATTGAGACGGATGCATCAGGAACGGGGTTGGGGGCAGTGTTAGTTCAGAATGGCCGCCCCATAGCCTACTACTGCCACACTCTATCTCTGCAGAACCAAGCAAAGTCCGAAAGGGAATTGATGGCTGTAGTGTTAGCCATTCAGCGATGGAGGCCATATCTTCTGGGTCACAAGTTTATTGTCCGCACAGATCAACAAGCACTGAAACACCTACTTGATCAACGAATTGTCCAACCAGAATACTAGAAGTGGGTCTCTAAACTGCTGGGGTATGATTTCGAGATTCAATACAAGCCGGGGCTAGAGAATAAGGCAGCGGACGCCCTCTCTCGAATGCCAGAGACACCCCAATTGGCCATGTTGTCAACCACGTCAGTAATCGACATCAACACCATCCGACAAGAAGTCAATGCAGACCCCCAGTTTATTAAGGAAATGGCTCGACTGACTGAAGAACCCGAGGAACCGTCGAAGTTCCAGCTACGACAGGGGACTTTGTACTACAAGAACAGGTTGGTAGTATCAAAATCCTCGGTGTTAGTTCCCGCGATCCTACAGATGTATCACAACTCCGTGTTAGGAGGGCACTCCTGTTTTCTGAGAACATACAAGCGACTAACGGCTGAACTCTACTGGCCGGGCATGAAAGAGGATGTGAAGAAACATGTAGCGGAGTGCGGAGTGCGGAGTCAGAGAAACAAGACGGAGTCCTTGGCCCCCGCGGGATTGCTACAACCTCTACCCGTGCCCGACAGAATATGGGAGGATGTGACGATGGACTTTGTCGAAGGACTACCTAAAGCAAAGGGGGGAGGACACAATCATGGTGGTGGTTGATCGCCTGAGTAAGTATGCGCACTTTATACCTTCAAGTCATCCTTTCACTGCCAAAATGATAGCTGCTGTGTTCATTCGAGAGGTTGTTAGACTACATGGCTTTCCCAGATCCATTGTCTCAGACCGAGACAAAGTCTTCATCAGCCACTTCTGGACTGAGATGTTCAGGTTACAGGGGACAGTGCTTTAGCGAAGCACGGCCTACCATCCTCAGACGGACGGACGGACAGAGATAGTTAACCGTTGTCTCGAAACCTACCTTCGGTGCTTCAGCAGTGAACACCCCAAGCGTTGGAATCAATGGCTGACATGGGCGGAATATTGGTATAATACGACGTACCACGGATCCTTGGGACGCACTCCATTCCAGGCGGTGTACGGACGTCCACCACCACCCTTGATCCTTTATGGAGACCAGCGGACTACTAACGCGACGCTCGATCAGCAACTGGCAGAAAGAGATGAGGTCCTCGAACAGCTCAAGCTTCATTTAACGCAGGCCCAAGACCGTATGAAGAAACAAGCAGATCACCACCGCAGGGGATATGGTCTACTTGAAACTACGGCCGTATAGGCAACGCACTCTAGCTAAGAAGAGGAATTAGAAACTGAGCCCGAAGTACTTTGGGCCGTACACGATCATGCAACGGATCGGAAAGGTGGCTTACAGACTCAACCTACCAGAGGACACGAGTATTCATCTTGTTTTCCTTGTCTCGCAACTGA